GTGGTAACAGACAAAAAAAAAAAAAAAAAAAACACATCATAGTAAAACCAATACCTTCTCAGCTTCGCATCGAAGCTAAAATATTAATAAGAAAATTTTTAATTGAACCATATTATTACACAGAGCAAATATTATAATACTTATAACTCAAAAAGGAAAAGAGAATTTTTATTTCAAAGAATAAGGTTTTTTGCATTTAGGTCATTTAGTACTGCTTTAGAGTTCTAACAAAATATTTTGCTGAAGTATTATGAAAAACTATTCCATCTAGTAGTTAATAAGTGAATGATATTAAATCTGGTTCATTGTTTCGTGAATTTGGGTCTCTGTTATCATAACCTAAGTGAATTAAAAATGTCAGTTAATTTATTTACATTGTATAGATAGTGTTTAGTTTAATTACCCTATGAAAGATCAACCACAGGAATATTCAAACATTTATATTTCTTTATACAACCATGCAGAATATCAAACGCTGTACTATATCGCGAATAGATCAAACCGTCCATATCAACGGTATGCATTGTTTGCTAAAGATGTTTTTTAGTAATTAAAATGATATTATAAGAGCAGTGTATTATAAATATTTATATTATAGTTTGATAATTATGCGATACTGTAGAAGAGCCGGTTAATATTAAAAGTCACCGTAGTTTGTTTAAAATTGTACAGCCTCAAAATACATATTAAAAAAACCCAGCATAGGGGGGTCGCGGCACAGTGGTGACGTGACATAGTTGGATCAAGTGTAATGATATCTGACAGTGATTAAAATCACTATAAAAAAAAAACGCTTCAATGCAAATCTTCAGATAGTGTTACATTTTAAAATATTAGTGCATTATTCCAAAAGCTACGTGATCTGCTAGTTCCTTATTAATATCCTGATTAAAATAAAGTATGTCGAATGAAATAGGGATTATTAAAAAATATTATTTATCATAAAACATTGTATTGATTCATATATTTTTCAAAAAGTTATAGCAGTTTAAAGTAAAAAATGTATAATATAAAGTCGAGAAATAGAACAAAATATTGTCATTTAAATACTTATAACATAAAAACAAAAACAAAATTTTTATTTCATGACTTTAATTGTCTAATTTCTTTGAATATATTATTTAAATTGGGACTTTCAGTAATCAAATACGTGTAGTAAGCAGCAGCACAATATCTTGCGAAAGGTTTTTTGCAATAAGGCCCATATATATAGTGCTTTATATTATCAACAAAATAATCTGGTGAATTATTACGAACAACAACTTCTAGTAGTTGATAAGTGAATGATTTTAAATCTGGTTCATCGTTTCGTGAATTTGCGTTTCTGTTACAAAATCCTAAGCATATTAAAAATGTTAGTTAATTTATTTAATTGTATAGATAGTGTTTAGTTTAATTACCCCATAAAAGATCTTCCTTAGAAATTTTCGAACAGTCATATTTGTGTAAGCAATCATGCAGAATATTGAATGCTGTATCAAATCTCAAAACTGTCAAAACTTCCATATGGTCATTGCTTGTAAACTAAATTTTTTTTTTTTTGTTATTAAAATGATATTAAAAGAACAGTGTACA